ACTAGATGTCAAGACAATATTCTTACATGAAGATCTTGATGAAGACATCTACATGGTGCAACTAGAAGGCTTTCAGGTGGCTGGAAAGGAAAACATGGTGTGTAAGTTAAAGAAAAGCTTGTACGGTTTGAAACGAGCACATAGGCAATGGTACTTGAGGTTTGACAACTTTATAATGAGGAAGAGGTACATGAGATGTCACATCAATCACTGCTGTTACTTGAAGAAATTCAAGTCCTCCTAGATTATATTGTTATTACATGTTAAAGATATGTTAATTGCATGATCAGATATGAAGGAAATCAACTATTTAAAGAAACAATCATCTCAAAAATTCAAGATGAAAGATCTGGGGGCAGCAAAGCAAATTCTTGGTATGAGCATCAAAAGAGATATAACAAATGGTGCTCTAAAGTTATCCCAAGAGAAATACATTGGGAAGGTTCTAGAGAATTCAAAGGTCCCAAAAAAAATACATTGGGGGCAGCAAAGCAAATCTGTCGATTTTTTTCTCCTTTGCTCTACAGTTGTTAGGAAAGGATCCTGAAGATCACGCATACGAACACGACAACGGTAAAGTAAAAGCAGAAAAAAGAAAAAAAAGATCACACAGGATTTACGTGGTTCATTTGATTGGTTTGAACAAACTAGTCCATAGCCACACTAGTAAGGATTTTTATTGATATGACGGTTGGGGTGTACAATGATATAAGATTGAACTTATAGAGTGAAAATAGGCTAAACTCCCATGTAGGCCGGATTAGAAATTTGGAGAGTTTTCTTTCAATAATATTTGGCCTAACTTTCAATTAATCAGATGCCATAACTTATCAGCAATAGGGATTTAACATTATAGGAAGTGCCAGAAAATTGGATAAAACGATTGTCAACTAAATGGAAGACTTTTAATTGCAGATGTTTCCTTTAAAAATTCATCGCCAAAGGGGTGATTCATCACAGAACCTTCACAAAAGTTTATGGATAAATTGTTGGTAGGAAACTCAAATACCAACTCAAGGCTAGAAGCTCGGCTTATTAAGGCTTTGAATGCAAGATTTTAAGACTTAAATCCGGAAACCTTATTGAGACAAATGAAATCAACTGTTACTTTATCTAGGTTTTGACTAATAATTATCCAAAATAATTTCAACTAATTGATCAGACTAATTGAATACTCAAATATAAATGACTTTGAAATTAGAAATCAAGCAAATAAATTTGTCCCAAACTGTTTCCAATGGAATCTCAAGGTACAAACCATCAAAATCTAAGCAACCAATGTTAGAATCATAGGAATTAGCCACACATGGCTAAATCTAAGTTACAATTGCAAAAAATCTGAAAATTTACCTAAAACCAAGTAGAAATAGGATGAGTTGCTTCCTTTCAAATCGTACAGTCCTTTGCATAATTCTAGAAAATCGACATCCTCATCAATTGCGGTTATCATTGACACTTTATACGATCCCAAAGAAGAAACCACTCCAAATAGAAGAAAAGGTAGTTTTGGTCCCTGAAAATTCCATCGGCGAGTTTAAAGGCGGGTTTAGCCGCATATGAAACAGCCCGAGGTTCTAGACTCCCGATTCTAGTAAGTCCAGCGAGTGCGGGAGCGGCTTTGGTCGCCTGTGGAGCGCCCCATGTCTCTGTTTGTCCATGAAATCCAGTACACCATTGATTTTTGGGCGCGACTATTGCCACTTGCAATTCAACATGAAACTGGATGGATTGTAGTTAGTGATGACCAAAACCCGGTCCCGAGCAGGGTCGGGCCGGTCCTAATCGGTCTCAAGCTTTCCCATAACCGGCGTAACCGGTCCCGGTCGAAAATGGTAAGACCGGTCAAGGTTCTTCATAACCAGTTATGGGCTACCAGTCCCGACATTAAAAATATATTTTTAATTTTTTTAATGATATATATTTTTAATACATTATAAAATTTGTAATTAGGTCATTTAGATACATTTTAAAAATACATTTTAAAAATGCATTTTAATATAATTAAAATTACATTGTCTTAAAAAATTACATTATAAAATTGTTTAAAAATACATTTATTTATAAAATTATTTGAATTTTTGGGCCGGGTCGGTCCATGACCGGTCCCGGTCCCACGAAACTGGCAAAACCCCAACCGGTCCGGTTTTTGGTCCCATAACCAGTCTTTTGCTGGTCCTTTCAACAATCCCGAGCTGGGCCGAGCCGATTTGTCCATCACTAATTGTAATAAGGGGGAAGGCCATATATCTTGACCTAGTGGGCTTTGGACCTAAAAACCAAAAATATAACATAAGGATACATTTCTAGATAAAGAAGACAAAAAATAGGGCTTATACTTTTTAAATGCATATGCAAAAAGAATTGATTATCAAAATATCCCCACACTCGAAATAATACATAGCATTTCACGAAGGCACAACTTAACCGACCTAGCAATAATCAACATACAAGACAACCCAAATATGAATACATGCTAATTTCATTAACACCTCAGAAAGATAGATGAAATACACAATAAATCGCTCAGTTTGCAAAAGGTATGGGTGTTTTCACTCAAAGCATCAATTCAATTGAAAATGCATTACCATAAGCTTGCATCAAGTCTCTCTTCTCCGTTGCTAAAGGTAACTAGGTGTGAATCAAAAGGTCTTTATGATGGATTGTAACTTGTCTAAGGTTCAAGGGCAGAATTTTTTTGACCAATCAATGTTGTAATTATTGACCAGTCAGAGCCGTAATTATTGACCAGTCAAATCCGATCTTGATTGTATGAAGGGTTAGGATCACTTATTTACTTCTCTTTACCACTTCTCAAAATAACTTTTGGATATATATATATATATATATATATATAGTGAAAACTGTCGGTTTCATTGTTTATATTACTGAAAAATTTCATGAAATTGTTTAATATGATAAAATTAATAATTATTTTCAAACTTTTCCAGCGGATGCCGGAGTCCGCCGGTAATAGCAATCCAATTTTTTTTTAAAAGAATTAAATATTTCCGGCGGATTTTCATTTGTCTCAATTTTCAAACTTTTCTTTTCTTAATGGATCGTATTGGGCTTTAACGGTTTTATTGGGCTTTAGAGAATGTTAGTTGGGCTTTAATGGATCGTATTGAGCTTTAACGGTTCTATTGGGCTTTAGAGGATGTTAGTTGGGCTTTAATGGATCGTATTGGGCTTTAACGGTTCTATTGACTTTAACGCATCGTTTTGGGATTTAGTGGATGTTAGTTGTGGTTTAATGAACTGTAATGGGTTTAAAGGACCTATTGAGCTTTAATAGATCATATTGGGATTTAACGGATCCTAATGGTCTTTAACGCATCGTATTGGGCTTTAGTGGATGTTAGTTGTGGCTTAATGGATAGTATTGGGTTGTAATGGACCGTATTGGGCTTTAATGGATCGTATTGGGCTTTAACGGTTCTATTAGATTTTAGTGGACCGTATTTGGCTTTAATGGATCGTATCCCGCTTTAATGGACCGTGTTTAGCTTTAATGGACCGTGTTTGGCTTTAATGGACCGTATTGGGTTGTAATGGACCGATTGGGCTTTAAGGGATCATATTGGTCTTTAAAGGTTCTATTGGGCTTTAGTGGATGCTAGTTGAGCTTTAATGGACCGTATTGTGTTGTATAATGGACCGATTGGGCTTTAATGAATCGTATTGGGCTTTAAATGTTCTATTGGGCTTTAGTGGATGTTAGTTGGGCTTTAGTGGACCGTATTGGGTTGTAATGGACCGATTGAGCTTTAATGGATCGTATTGGGCTTTAATGGACCGTATTGAGTTTTAATGGACTGTATTGGGCTGTAATAGATCTTATTGGGCTTTAATGGAACGTATTGAGCTTTTATGGACCGTATTGGAATTTAATGAAACATATTGGGATTTAATGGAAAATAAATCACCGGCGGCTATATCTGCCGGATATATTAATTTCTGGCAGATATTGCCGCCGGAAATAACCCCCTGTTTGGTAGTGTATGTATGTATGTACGTCGACAATGTTGTAAGGCTCTAACCATTTATTTGCATAAAAAATATATGCATTATATATATATTAGAAGGGTACTCGTACAATGCAGCGAGATAAATCTTGATTTTAATGTTTAGTTTTTATTCTGTCTCTATCGATATAATACGATTTTATGTGGTTTTGAGAAAACGATAATTTTTGAATGAAATATAAATTTGAAGATAACATAAAAATTTGAAAAAAAATAAATCGATATTAGTATCAAATTAACTATTTAGTAGTTCTGTTTTTTTAGTGTGACTTCTTTAATTCAACTTTTTATTATTAATTTTAGTTTAGTAATATAATTTTTTATAAAGATAATAATTAAGTATTATGTTATAATACAATGATAATCCTAATTATATTTTAGATTTTTTATTTTTAAAATGAAATGTTTATCCAATATTTGATTATTTTTATCTGCAGTTAGTTACACGAATTCAAGCATGAAGCTTTAATAAGTTGTACTTACTACTTACGCAAAATTACTTGTAATCTTGAATTTTAAGTAATATGCATCAATAAACACTAGTTCGTATAAAAAATGATTTTTAAGAATTTTTGTCAAATAATATAAAATATGGTATGTATGTGTGTGTATATAAAGAGAGAGAGAGAGAGAGGCATACTCGATTACTGATGCATGCATATTGATTGTAGTATGACTGCATGCCGTATAATTATACCCCTTTCGTTTTCATGAAAGCCGAAGAAGGCATCAAAGACGCCGAATCCCATCTGAAACAACAAGAAGGCATCGCCATATAATATAATGCCTCCAAACCACGTAACTACCAAATAATACATTCTTCATTTTTCATTGTGTTTGGAACATTGTAGCTGTCGTCAAATACTTGTTATCATTTGCATTTGGATTTGGATATAAACCCTGCAGCAACCTGCAGTCTGCAGTCCTTATATGAAGACTGAATTCATGAGTGTTGTAGTTTGTCTCAACTCAAACATGTTTCCACCATCTCTTCTTGTTCCTCTCTTGCTGCTTTTCCTCTTTTTCCTCCTCAAGAAATGTTCTCACCGAAGGCCTCTTCTACTCCCTCCTGGTCCTCCAAAACTTCCCTTTATCGGTAACATGAACCACCTTCTCCATCCCGCACCACATCATGTCCTCCACAACTTAGCCACCATATATGGTCCCATCATGCACCTCAAGCTTGGCTTTGTCTCCACCATTGTTGTCTCCTCCGCTGAAGCAGCTAAACAGATCATGAAGACTCACGACACCATCTTCTCTAATCGCCCCAAACTCGTCGCTCCCAAAATCTTAGGCTATAACTACACCGATATCGCCTTTGCTCCTTACGGCTCTTACTGGAGACAGCTTAAAAAAACCTGCATTCTTGAGCTCTCCACAACAAAAAGAATGGGCTCAACACGGTTTATACGCGAAGAAGAGGTGACTCGGCTTGCTCAATCCATCAGTGTAAGTTCAGAACCAATAAACTTGGCTGAAAGACTTTTTGCTTTGAATCACAATATCATCACTAGGATTACTTTTGGTGATAAGTTCGATGATGAACTGAGGTTCCGGTTGGCAATCAGGGAAGGGACGGTTTTGGCTGCCGGATTTCAGATCGGAGATTTCTTTCCTTCTCTTGGTTTCATTGCTAAACTGACGGGAATGAATGCAAGGATGGAAGAGTGTCTGGTGGAGCTTAGTAGCATCATGGACAAGAACATTCAACAGCATATGCATATGGAGCATAAAATCGAGAAGCCACAAGATGAGCATCTTGTAGACGTTCTCCTCCGGCTTAAGGATAACGGAGGTCTGGATGAACCCTTGACAACCGACAACATAAAGTCTGTTCTCCTGGTAAGATCTATGTCAAACCCAAACCCTTTTGTTATTGTTGGATCTACTTGTCACGTCTTCTTCCATGGCTTTAACCATTTTCTGTATAGGATGTGTTCACGGGAGCCAGTGAGAATTCGTCCAACATCGTCGAATGGGCGATGACAGAGATGATAAGAAATCCAAGCATGATGGAAAAGGCACAGGCAGAGGTTAGGAAGGTTATCGGTGAAAAAGCGAAACCAACTATACAAGAGACAGATCTTCCAAAGCTACATTACATGAAAATGGTGATCAAGGAGACTCTGAGGTTTCACCCTCCGGTTCCTCTCTTGCTCCCACGGGAGTCCATGGATAGATGCACCATCAACGGCTATGAAATCCCTTCAAAGACTCGAGTATTTATCAACTACTGGGCCATCACGAGGGATCCTGCTAGCTGGAAGGATCCCAACGTGTTTGACCCAGAAAGGTTTCAGGACGAAACCAAAGATTACAGAGGTCATGATTTCGAGTACATTCCTTTTGGCGCAGGGCGTAGGGTTTGTCCAGGAATCTCATTGGGGATGGCAAATACGGAGCTTTCTCTAGCTTCGTTGCTTTACCATTTCGATTGGGAGCTACCAGAAGGGGAGAAAGTGGAAGATTTAGACATGAAGGAGACGTTTGGGATGACATGTTACAAGAGTTGTAGTCTCCGATTAGTTCCTCGTCTACGCTTTCCAGTAGAGTTTTCCATGACATGATTTTTTTTTTTACCTTAATGACTTGTTTCTGTTACAAATTAACACAAAATGTATTCATAAATTTGCAACTTGATATATAATTAAGAGAATGAAGTTGATAGAGAGAGAGAGACGAGACGATACGAGATCAGACATATATTTACATGGAAATTTTAACATACTTATATTTGAAAATGTTAAGATTCGTTTACTAAATCGATCTCAAAGTGCCAAGATGCTGAAAATCAAAAGACCGAATAGCCCCTCCCTTCATAAAACTCGTGCAATCAACGCTCTTTGATGTTCATCTAAGAACTTCCTCACATACCATGTGAACCAATCCACGACTGTCATTCACATTTGATCGACCAACGAGGAGCACACTGAGAATTGGGGACGGAAGGGCAATCTTGTCTTTCGGGTTTCTATATCTAATCTAGGCAGGGTAACATACCTTAACAGGCTAGTTTTCATGTTATGTTATGTTAATGTTCATTATTGTTAAATTACTCACGTTCATGTTTGTTAGATTTTAATGCGAGCCTAAGCATAGAATGCGTGGATGGTTGTACTTAAACGTGATACCGGGTCTCTGTCTCAAGCTCACGATGCGCCGAATCAAAGATAAAAACAAGGAGCATGTCCATAAAAAGGCAGGATTTTGGAGCAAGAAAACATGGTTTTATAATTACTCTTTTTCAATTTTCTCACCTTTGCTCAACCTTTTTATGTTTGGCCTACCACCTTTTTGGGCTTCTTTACTTTTGGCCCACCATGTCACCTGACTGAAGCACACATAAAACCATCATTTTATAAGGACTAGACTTAGACTTGATAGTGATTGACAACTGTAGTTGTAGTTTAGTCTGTAGGAACCAAAAGCCCATTATTATCCAAATGTGTTTAATAACCCTCATCCCCTTACAAAAAAATAAAATAATAAATAAATAAATTAATGATTCAATTTTTTTGGGTTCAAACTTTTTTTTTTTTTTGCATTTTTGTAAATCAGTTATTTCTCATTTGAGCTCTTGTTATATATACGAAACTATACAAACTAATCTCATTGTTCATCCAGATTATCAAATCAATGTCAACGATGTGGATTAGATCGGTTTCAAAATTTACTCTGCAACTGATTTGATAAATACCTAAAAATTTAATGATACACAATTTCATGTGGAAGAAACAGAAGAAGTTGTTTCCCAAGAACATGCAAGTAGTGATATTAGACAAAAATTAATGATCGTCTAAAAATGTTTTAAGAATTAATTGGTTAAAGAAGGATCCAGGGAAGCTAATAGGATGTGGACAAACTTAACAACAAATAATAATAGGAACCACATGAACCGACTCTTTTTCAAGAAAAATGTTACAAAATTTATGCAATAAAATTTCTTATTGGGAGTAATTTATTACCAAACATTAAAATTTTCCTAACAAGGCTTAATCAAGCCATTCTCACTTAAGTTGTACTAATGACCGATTTACCCTTACCTATGAATATGTTGAGGTAGGGAAGCTGTTAAAATATGATATCCTATTAAATTGTCAATCTTAACTTTTGTATTGTTTGTTGGTTATTTTGTATTGTTTTGCAAGGAATATAAACATAAGGGGTAAAATTGTTCAAGTCTGGAAAGATCAAGGACTGGAGGACTGCGCCTCACTTTTCCTGGAACATCAAGGGTAGCGGAGCAAATATGTTTAAAGTCAGGGAGCTTTCTAATAATTGGACAGACTATATAAACGTGATACCCGGTTATCAAAGCATCATCACAATTCATTTTTTTTGTAATTCTCTTGAAAAGTTTCTTCAGTTTTTATCTTTTAGATCTAGCTTACGGTTATTATAGATCTTAGCTATCTTAGCTAAGATACATAGTCTTCTTGTAAGTTTTTCATCTGTAAGTTTTCCTTCTATCAATACATGGTGGTTTGGTTATAGATTTGAACATGGTATCAAAGCCACACACCTTGTGTTGAATCTGTTCTTGTTGTGGCTGTCAGAAACTTTTCCTTGCGAGAATCGACTTGAAACTCCAGGTTTGTTTTCCGATCTCTTTTTTTTTTTCTTGATACAAGTAAGTGCGCAAGAAATCTGAAGGATTGCGAGATCTGTTGTTGATCTCGATCTACCTTGGTTCTTGCTATACTTGTGTGTTCTTGTGTTCTTGTTTCCTTTGTCTATCTGGTAGTTTTCTGTTGTTCTCTTTTGTTGAGTACATGAGCAAGTGAGTAATACGATTGCGGGATTTTCTGTTAAATCTCGATCGACCGTTCTCCTTGCAATACTCGCTGGTTCTAGACCTTCTGTTCTGTATCTTCCTTTAAATTTCTGTTGCTATATCTCATGTTCATACGCAAGTAAGTTTTGCTTTGTAAAATCCTTTTAAGATCTTGATTTTTTTTTTTTTTTTTTTTTTCGTGCAAAACTTGTTTGGTTAAAAGGAAGGTAAGCTGTTGGTTTAGGTTTATTCTTTGTATTAATCTGGTTCATCTAGTTTTTTTTTTGTTTCATTTACTGTTTCTGCTTATAAATCTGGTCATTCCAGATTCGTTGTTGTTTTTTCTTGTTTCTTCAGATCTGGTTCTTCCGGATCTGGTGTTATCAGATTCGCCCTGTTTTAGATCTGGTCGATTGCTCCAGATCTTTCTTACTTTGGTTTATGATGTTGTTCTAGATCTGGTCCGTTTATCCAGATCCCTCTGTTCAGGTTAGCGATTCGTTTTCTCGCTTTATCTCTTATCTCTACCTGCTTCTGCTGTGATTAGTATTGTTTAGTTTAACTTCCTTTTTTGTCTGCTGTGTTTGTTGCTATTGTTCCTACCTGTCTCTATCTGTTGAATCTGATTAGTGAGCTTGACCTAGCACCGTTGAGTGTTTTAGGAATCCTGCTCTTAAGCTATTCAGATTCTTTTGTGTGCTTTGTTTGCGGTTTTGTTTAATGGATCGAACCACTGCTATCACGGCAAGTCCCATGGAATCTAAAGTCACCTCGCTTGACTTTGGAGATCCACTGTACTTACATCCGAGCGATACCAGTGGAGCTCCATTAATAAATTTCAAATTAAGTGGTACTGAAAATTATAAGGTTTGGGCCTGTGCTATGACATTAGCCTTGGACACTAAAAATAAATTGGGTTTTATAGACGGTACTTGTCTCAGACCTTCAAATGATCCTGTCCTACAGAGACAATGGGATCGTTGTAATTCTGTTGTCCTTTCGTGGATTTTGAGTTCCATGACCGAAGATCTTTTTCTCGGTCAAGTGTTTTCTAAAGAATCTGCCAAGGTTTGGACTGAGCTAGAAGAGACATACGATAAAGTAGATGGTTCTGTTACCTTTAACCTTTATCAGAAAATAAATTCATTAAGTCAAGGTGGCATGTCTGTTTCCGAGTACTATCACAAACTTAATTCTATGTGGAGGCAATTTGATGCCTTGGTAAAACTTCCCTCATGTTCTTGTAATGCCTCCCGTGAGTTCCTGGAACACAATCAACTTATAAAGATAATGCAGTTCTTAATGGGTCTCGATGACATGTATCAACCGATTAGAAGCAATATCCTTACTAGGGACCCCTTGCCCTCTGTTAAAACCGCATTTTCTCTTGTTTCAAGAGAAGAATCACACAGAGGTGTAAATCTGTCTCAAACTAGAACCAAGACTCAGAATAGTGCTTTTTTAAGCAAAACTGTTGAAAACAAAAGGAAGACTGGAAAATTTTCAAATCTTATTTGCAAAAATTGTGGCATGACTGGTCACACAATCGAAAGGTGTTTTAAACTGATAGGATTTCCCAAGGATTTCCAAAATCGTAATAGATCTCAAAATCAAAGTTTTAGACCCCCCGTTGGAAATAATGTTGTTTCTGATTCTCTTTCTCCAAAAAAGGCCAGTTCTAGCTCCACCTTCACCTTCACCTTCTCCGAGGAACAAATAACAAAAATTCTAAATTTGATTGATCAGAAAGAAGGAGCTATGGCCAATATGGCAGGTATGTCTCATTCTGTTAAAACTGGGTGGATAATAGACTCTGGTGCGAACCAACATATGACTCATAACACCAATTTTTTAGAAAATCTTGTGGATGTTTCTGACCTTGACATCAGGGTCAGTCATCCAAATGGGACAAAGGCTCAAATAAATAAAATAGGTGATTTTAAATTAACCAATAATGTCACTTTATTTGATGTCTTAGTTGTCCCAGACTTTAATGTGAATCTATTATCTGTACATAAACTTGCTAAGGATAACAAGGTGTTTGTAAGTTTTGATGAGTCGAAATGCTACGTCCAGGATTCTCTTCGAAAGAGTGTCGTGGGGACTGGTAGCCAGGAGGATGGTCTCTATTTCTTTGATGAAAATCTTAATTGTAAGACTTCCTGTTTTCCAAACTATAAAAATATGTCTTGTYTGGTTTCCACTCAACTGTGGCACAGTAGACTTGGCCATCCTTCACATCAAGTCTTGCGCGTGCTTAAAAATCATCTTAATATTGCTAATGAGGATAGTGGACCCTGTGAAATTTGCCATAAGGCAAAACAAACTAGAGAAAAATTTGATTTAAGTGTTCACAAATCAAAAAACCTAGGTGAGTTAGTTCACCTTGATGTCTGGGGTCCTTACTATATACAGAGTAGAGAAGGGTTTAAATATTTTTTGACCATAGTTGATGATTACACTAGAGCTGTTTGGGTGTTTTTGTTGAAAGGAAAACATGAGGTTTGTGAAAACATTGTAACCTTTTATAATCTGGTCAGTACGCAATTCGGAAAAACTATTAAGGTTTTTAGGAGTGACAATGGCACAGAATTTTCAAGTCAAAAATTAAATGACTTTTTCAAAGATAAAGGAATAATTCATCAGACCTCRTGTGTTTACACTCCCCAACAGAATGGGGTTGTTGAACGTAAACATCGCCATTTACTTAATGTAGCTAGATCTCTTATGTTTCAGGGAGGGATCCCTCT